TCGTCGTGCGAGCATGACGACTCGGCTAGGGACTCTGAACAGGCAATCAATACACGTGTGTGAGTGTGCTCAAAGAGAAAGAGAGTGAGGCTCCTTACTGGCGCATCGAATGTGGATGTCGTCCCACTTGACGGTGCGGTAGTCGGCCCGGAAGCGGCACAAAAGGTCCTCCTGCCCACCGTAACTGCACACACAAACAAACACCCACACACACAGATGCAATCACTGAGGGTCTGCATGGATCGCAAGAGGCTCCCTCTACCGACCCTGGTTTAGCCTGGTATCCCCTCTGTGTGTCGCACGCCACCGACACGGTGTCCCCCGCCATGAAGGAGCGGTCAGAGGAGCTGACGCACACACGGGGAGAGGGAGAGAGAGGGGCAGAGGTGTGTGTGTGTGTGGCTGTAGCGTACGTGTAATTGATGGCAACGACGCCCTCGAGAGTGCCGTTGTCGAGCGTGGAGAAGGGGAACGCCGGACACGCAACTGCACACACACACACACACACACACACACACAGAGGGGTGCAGACGTGTGTGTCTGCGTGTCTACACGCAGGCTCATACCAGCGGGCCTTGCGAGGACGTTCATGCAGAGCGTCCCGAGGTTGTCGCGGTGGTTCCACTGGTGCAGCGCCTCACCTGACCCCGCACACACACAGATGTGTCTACGTGCGTGTGTGGTGTGATCAGGGATACCGAGCCACACGCGCCACTTGGTGCTGCGGTCGATGGCGAGGGTTGATGGGCCGCTGTGGGTCTGAACGAACGCAGCCACTTTGTCTGTGTGGCTGTGTGAGTCTGTGTCACGGGCTGTGCTGTTTGTGTGCGGGCTGACGTCGAATGTGATGTGCTGATCGTTCCAGTGCTGTCCGCTGACAGTGTACCAGGCCTCGCCGCACTCACGGCCCACACAGTGAGACGGCACACGAACTGCATCGAAGAGCCATACACACACACAGACACACACACACACGCAGTGAGAGAGAGAGAGAGAGAGAGGGAGAGATCCCCGCGGCCAAGTGTGTGGACTGGTGTGTGGGTGTGGCCACGTACTTGTGTCTCCAGTGTAGGTGTTGTTGGGCACCACGAGGGTGTTGTTCTCGTCTGCCAGGGTGATGAAGATCCCAAGCTGCTCGCTCTCATCCCGATTGCCCAATGGCGGGCAGCCCCTGCACACACACACACACACACAAAGGGACAGACAGACGCAGAGAGAGAGAGAGAGATGGCTTTGTGGGTGTCTGTGTGTGTCCGTGTGGGGCGTGCGCACCATCTGCCGGCACTTGAGGGGTTATGGTGGCAGAATATGACCCCTGCACACACCCAACACACACACACACACACATGTGACCACACACACACGCAGACGAACGAACGAACGAACGAAGACATTTCGGCGTGCGTACCGTTGACATACTCCAATCTGACGGCATACACGTTGTCCACCCTCCGGGCCACCTGGAACGTCGACCGCTCGTGCGACCCGTCTCTGCTTGACAAGCACACCGGCCCGTTGCCGTTCAGACGCACCCACACTGCACACACCACACACACCGCAACACCCACAGAGACGGACAGAGAGGGAGGTGCACACAGTGTGTGCAGAGAGAGAGAGAGAGGGAAGGAGCGGGACCTTGGCAGGTGTTGGTGACGGCGTCGCAGGTCTCGCCCTCCCTGCAGCCTTCGTTGCCGCGGAGCTGCGGATTGCACCCGATGGCCGGCTTGTCAGATCTGCACACACAATACACACGACACACACACACACATGGATTGTGCGTGCGTCAGAAAGGAACGAGGGAGGGAGGGAAAGTGGGACTACACACATGGATGAGGGCGCGTATGCGTCTGGTGTGGGCCGGCCGCTCTCGAGCTCGTCCAGGGGCACCTTGGTTTCTGTGACATCCACACACACGGATGGATGGATGGATGGATGAATGGATGTGTGCCCACTCACTCTCGCATCTGATGTGCACTGTGTCCCATTTGGGCGTCTGCCAGTCGTCGGAGAAGCCGCAACGCACCTTCTGCGTCACATAATCAGGACTGACACACACACACACAAGGAGAGAGAGAATGGCTGGCTGTGTGTGAGAGGGAGGGGCTGGCTGTGGTTTGGCTGATGGCTCACTCGGAGGGCGTGTAGCGGTATTGGAAGCCGTATGCCTCTGAAGTGCCCTCGCTGCAGCCCAGCAGCCGGTAGCTGCCCGTCATATCCACCACACCCTTGTGGCCTGGACCACTGGATGACACACAAAGACAATAACACAATAACACGCACGATGACACACACCCCTTACCCTCGGCCCTTGGTGCTGACGCCCCGCATGGTCCCCTGGTTGAGCCGCCAGGAGGGGAAGGGGAGGCACTCCACAGACTCCATCACATAGACGTCCGCACACGTGTCCGCAGCGGTCGCCCGCCGTGCGGCTGATCGCTGGGTCATGTTGTGGAGCCGCTCGCCGAGGGTGAGGGTGAGCCTGTCTCCCTCGGTCAGGTGCAGCAGCTGGCTGCCGTAGGACGTCTGCAACAATGGGGCACACACAAGAGGGCGTTCTGTGCTCTCTCTCTCTCTCTCTCTCTGTGTGTGTGTGCTTTGGGGGTGGAATTCTTCACTTGAATGATGAACTGGTTGCCGTCGATGGAGGCGTTGCGGCCGGTCATGGTGTACCAGGCCTCGCCACACGGCTGGCCCAGACAGGCGCGCGGCACAGACACTGTCGAGAGAGAACCGCCAGACAATGAGTGAGTGGGCGTGGTGCCACCACACACGAGTGTGGTTGTGTGGACGCACCCACCTGTTTCGCCCGAGTACATTGAAGCGGGCAGCATGACGTCCGACGCAGAGGCAGAGGCCCCATCAGACTCGCCGGCTTCGTCTGCACGACAGACACATGACACAAGGGCCTGCAGTGCTGTGGTGTGTGTGTGAGTGTGTGTGTGTGGGCCGACGCACCACTGTCGTCACTGTCGTCTGTGTCTCTGTCAACTTTTTCCTTGGTGATGAAGACGCCGAGCATCTCCTGGCCACCCTCCTCCTCCGTCGACATGCACCCCCACTTGTGAGCATCGGCACTGCTGTCGTTCCCACCTCCGCTGTCGTTCCCACCTCCCCCACCCCCACACGCAATGGCGCCTACACACACACATCCATTCTCTCTCTCTCTCTCTCTCTGTGTGTGTGTGTGTGTGGCTGTCACCGGAAGTGTGTTTGAGCAGGACGGCGTAGACGTCGCGTATAGTGTCTTTCATCTCGAATGCGTCACCGATGCACACCGGGCCGTCGCGGTTGACCTTCTGCCAACCTGTGTGTGTGCAGGCGTGTGTGACGGACAGACGCACAATCATTCGCTTCGCTCGCTCACCGCTCGTCAGCCCATGGATGTCGACGCACGTCTCGCCTGTGTACTCTGCGCACACACCAAGGATCCATCCATCCATCCATTCACACGTGTGTCCGTTCGGACGGACCTTGGTCAGTGCCGTTGCTGCCGTTGTTGCCCCTGAGCGCCTCGCCAAACCACAGCCGGCCGGTCGACCCGCCGCGCAATGACAGAGGCGACAGACCATTGGCCGTCTGCGGACACACACATACACCGCTGGAGCTGCTGTGTGCGTGTGTGTGTGTGTGTGTGTGTGTGCCTGGAAGACGATCTGTGTGGCGTTGAAGGTGTTATTCTTGACCAGGTACCACGCCTGGGCGCACGTCTGGCCCAGACAGTAATCCGGCACTGACACTGCACACACACACACACACACACATGAATGGTCCGGACACACACACACACCCATTGTGTGACAAACACACCTGTGCTGCCCATGTATCTGGCGGCCGGGAGCAGCACCCTGTCGAAGCGGTCGGTCAGAAAGAGACCCAGCGCCCTGTCGCTGCCTTCGTCACTCTCGCCCTCACCATCCACTCGCCCTCCCCCGCCCCTCGGACACCCGAAGCGGCCAACCACAGTCGTGTTGCCGCAGCTGATGCCCCCTACACACACACAAACGGAGAGAGAGAGAGAGGAGAATGAAAGTGTCTGTGTG